CCCAGCCACGGAGGTGAGATCAGAAGTCCGACAATAGAAACACTTATCGGGAACTAATCGGAGCACGGATATCGCAGGGGAAATCGCCAACCTTACAGCATGGCTCGTTGCAATGCGAACTGAGATCGCAGCTACAATACTTTAGACTTTATGAATCGCAATGTCTTTACCACATGCTGGGTCAGTTATAGAGGCTCAGGCATCTCCTTCGCAGTCATATAGCGATGATCCAAGCCCTCAGAGCGAACCGCCGAATAGCGACACCTACCCACAGAGCTCCCGTGCTTCTTTAAGCGGAGGCTTACGCGAACCGTAAGTCCTAGAAACTATCTGCTCCGCTGATTTGAGCTAATATCATGACCATGTAGAATATCCTTCAAACGAAAACAGAAACAGCGATCCAGGTTCAGCCTCTCGCGCCTTTTCCCTAGTGAATCGACAAGAGACACCGGCTTCGGCTCTCCGAATCGCGACAGACAGCCCCCAAACGGCCACTCACTATCGTCGCGCGACGTTTCGAACAGCAACGGAAATGTGAACCACAAGGATTCGGGCTTTCTGGATTGGTATGTGGAGGGGCCAGGTAGACGGGTAGGATATGACGACCTTACGGCGATCGATTGGATTTTTGAATACACAAAAGAGCGACAAAGAAAACGACTACTCTACGCAAATGGACAGGGACTTGTTGGATATGCGCGCAAAATACTGGATGCAAGCAATGTTTGGATTGTGTTGATCGCGACGGGAATTCTGGTTGGCATCATCGCCGCCTGCATCGATGTCTCAAGTGACTGGCTAGCCGATCTCAAAACTGGCTATTGTAGGAACGGGGCAGGAGGAGGTAGGTTCTATCTGAACCGGAGCTTCTGCTGCTGGGGGCATGATGGTGAGTCGGTTCTATTCGGTAGACGCTCAAACCAATGAGACTAACGTGGCTTGCTGGCCAGACATTAATAATTGTTTGGATTGGACGCCTTGGAGAAAAGCCCTAGGAGTCAGTTCACGCGGTGGCGGCTATGCCGTTGAATATGTTTTTTATATTCTCTACTCTGTACTGACCCTTGTTGCTAGACCTTGCGGTGAGATGCTAACGCAAGTCACAGATGTTCTTCGCCGTCTGCGCATGTGTCCTAGTCAGGACATACGCCATATATGCTAAGCACAGTGGTATCCCCGAGATCAAGACCGTTCTTGGCGGTTTTGTCATTAGACACTTCATGGGGCCTTGGACCCTCGCTATCAAATCTTTAGGCTTGGTAGGTATATATTGAACCTACAATCTAGAACCCTTGCTGATTTAGAGCAGTGCTTGGCTGTCGCATCTGGTATGTGGCTTGGCAAAGAGGGACCTCTTGTCCATGTCGCGTGTTGCTGTGCGAGTTTGATAATGAAGCCATTTCATAGTCTCAACCACAACGAAGGTACTTACATCATGAGACCATTAGTCAATATATGCTAATCGTGTAGCGCGGAAACGAGAGGTCCTTTCCGCTGCCGCCGCTGCCGGGATTTCTGTGGCCTTCGGAGCGCCCATCGGAGGTGTTCTATTTAGCTTGGAGGTGGGTCAACAATTCTCTGGTAAGGAGCCGGGCTAACTTTGACTGGATAGCAACTAAGCTATTACTTTCCCGACAAGACTATGTGGCAGAGCTTCGTATGTGCCATGGTTGCCTCTGTGACCTTGCATGCGCTCGACCCATTCCGCACCGGCAATATAGTTCTCTACCAAGTCAAGTACACGCATGGGTGGCACCGCTTTGAAATTATCCCATTCGTCATACTTGGTATCGTCGGAGGTCTTTATGGAGCCTTTTTCATCCGACTGAACATGAAGGTAGCCAATTGGCGGCGTTCCCTACGTGTCCCCCGACCGATTCTGGAGGTATCCGCTGTAGCTCTTCTGAGCTCATTGATCAACTTTCCAAATCTTTTCATGAAAGCTCAGAACTCGGAGCTCGTGCATTCTCTATTTGCGGAATGTAGCACCGGGACTGAAGATCCGTTCGGCTTCTGTAAGGTCGGTGCGGTATCGGCTAGTACGGTTGCTCTTCTGCTGGGAGCTGCTATTCTTGGCTTTTTCCTCGCATCGATTACCTTTGGGTTGGACATCCCTGCTGGCATAATCCTTCCCTCGATTGCCATTGGCGCTCTCTATGGTCGGGCTCTCGGCATCGTCTTTCGGATGTGGCAGCAAGCTTTCCCTAAGTTCTTCCTGTTTGGCAGTTGCGAGCCGGATGTACAGTGCGTGACTCCAGGGATATATGCTATCATTGGAGCAGCTTCAGCCCTCGGCGGCGCCACCAGAATGACCGTGTCGATTGTGGTCATCATGTTCGAACTCACAGGTGCTCTAACCTACGTCATTCCCATCATGATTGCAGTCATGCTGTCCAAATGGTGTGGTGATATCTTCGGGAAGCGTGGTATCTACGAGTCTTGGATTCAACTCAAGGAATATCCGTTCCTTGATCATCGCGATGACACCGCTCCACCCGATGTGTCTGCTCAAAAAGTAATGACGTCCATTGATGACCTGACAGTCATCACTGCCGTTGGGCATACGATCGACACCCTCCGCAATCTTCTCCTGACCACGTCCTACCGTGGATATCCGGTTGTTACAGACATGTCGAATCCCGTTCTTCTGGGCTACATCTCACGCAACGAGCTTTCCTACGCGCTGAAGTACGCAGCGTCACCTTCCGATACTGAATTATCCAGCACGGCGCAGGTGTTCTTTACGCACCAACCATTCGCAGACCCAAGCGAGACCCTGGATCTGAGGCCGTGGATGGACCAAACGCCGATCACGCTCAACAGCAACACCACCTTTCTCATTGTTCTACGAATGTTCCAACGACTCGGTCTGCGGTACGTTCTATTTGCCGACAGGGGTGTCCTGCAGGGCCTGCTCACCAAGAAGGATGTTTGGTCGATAGTCAGCGGGTCAAGCTCCCACAAGGACGAAACCCTACTTGAGCGAACTTTCGCTCAGCCAAGTGCCGCGGAGGAAGTTGGCTTACTTGGTGATGATGACGGCACAAGTCTTGCCAGCTCCATTGAGCGGCGGCAATCTCTGTAAAATGACGCAGGAAAACACCGGGCGCAATGATTTACATGATATGTGACTTCGCTTTATGGACGGAGCCAGGCTTAAGTATCCATCTATTTTTTGAATACTTCTCTGCACATGTTGCTGTAATCTTAGACTTTTTCATGATTGGTGTGGTCCTCTGCCTCGCCTGCCGCTTAGAGGCATTCACTAACTCTAGTGAACATGCTTTGCCTCTAAGGCTCAAGATTTTATACCCCAGATGCACTAAATCTTCCAATACTACTAAAAAATTGGTTTATTCCAGGATTCCTGTATCTTCACAGTCAGATCAATCCTCCAGTCACTTATGAGCCACCTGTTGAACTCCAGAAACGGGTGATATATATAGTTCAGTAGGACCCAAAAGCGGTGTGAAAAAGGGCAGCATTGACGGGGCGGTGGCAAGCGGCAGATGCCGAACATCGTCCCCGCTCACCACCCGCGTTATCAATTAATCTGGCGTCCAAGCTTGAATTTACGTGCTTCATACACGAGCCAACCCGAGCAACAAACTCCCTTTCTTCCATCTTCAATCTCCCACAACCACCACTCCCGGTCAGAGGTATCTGGGCCTCCACCCATCCGCAACCATGATGGTCGATCCCTTCGAAGTGCGGATGCGCTTCACGGCGCAGCTGCAACACCTCAATGCCTCGGTCACCTCCTCCCAGAAAGCCGCGCACTATGCGCTCAAGTACCGCGACATGGATGAGGATCTTCACTCGTGCATTCTCGAACAATTAGAGCGAGTACGTCAGGCCTTGCGCCCCCGCGCCTCACTCTTTTCGTCTGCTCTGTCTGCCACACAAAATCTGACTCTTTTCGCAAACATCTAGAACAACATGAACAACCGAGCAAACATCATGTATTTTGTCGAGCATTTCTGCGAGATGGCCACGCGGGAAGACCATGCGCCCTATGTCCGCATGATCCAGCGCGACATCATCCGGATTGTCGACGCCGTCGCGCCGCCCGACGGCTCCGGGGCCGCGAACGTCAAGCACGTCCGCCGCGTCCTGAACGGGCTGCAGACCAAGGAGATCCTCTCCGCGGCGACGGTGGCGGAGATCGATGCCTTCCTGAAGGAGCGCGAGACGCACCCGGCCCATTTGGATCTGGAGGGGGAGGAGGAAGGAGGCGCGGAGGGTGATGATGCGGCGACGGCGGCAGGGGCGGCGCGGGCCAAGGGTGCGACGCCGCGGGGCTCGCGCGGCAGGGTGGACAAGCGGCAGATCGAGCAGCGCATTGAGGAGGACCGCGAGCGCAACAAGCGGCTGCGGGAGAGTATGTGGACGGTCAGCGGGGATGATGGCGACGAGCACGGCCGGTTCTGGGATGAGGCGAGTGATATCGGCGAGGATGACTTTCTGGCTGCGAAGGAGGAGCTGTTGGAGCGGAAGCAGATGGTGGGTGCTCGGTGAAGATTTGCCCAGCTGCGTTGTCTTGTGGTTCTCGTTGCGAGGGTGGTCTGCTTGGGTTTTCATGGTCAAGAGGGAGTTTTTGGGGGAGTTTCTGATGCGCATACTACTGATACTATACACATACACAGCATGGTTTGGCGTTCTCGATGGTGTGCATGTTCTGTGGAATTGTCTCACGAGTTTCACAGCTCATGCATTGCAAGGTTCACAGTTGTCCAGGATACCCGAAAAGTGAATATTATATCAGCTTCAAATGAAATTTGACATATCGAAAACAACTGGAAACTATTTGATCTATGTGTAGTTCCTGTTGTAATTATCCTTGCTTATACTCGTTGATATACTCGCCCGTACAGTAAACCAGAAGCGGGACCCACATTTACAGTACTTCTCGATCCACTTTCGCCCCGGATAAACACAGTCGCCGCTACAATTTTCGAATGCTTCTTTTTACGCTCCGGAAAAGAGGGTTTGCGCAACACGCAATAACATTTCTCCATGCAAAACAACTGGGAGAGAAGGTCCGGGGAAATTTTCTTTTTTCTTTATCTCAACCTTTAAATGTTTGCGCAGTTTATGACCGCAGCAAAGGGGCTATTCAATCGATCGACGGACTCCAACGGAAAAAGCACACTTCCCAAAAATTTCGCCCCGGACAGCGTTACTAGCGCCGCCGTTATTACGCCGAAGAAGATGGTCACAGCCACTAGACGGCGGAAATTTACCGCCGAGCAGTCCGCGGAGCCTGAAGTTGGGGCAAGCTCGATTGAAAAAACGGCGATCAACGGAAAGCGCAAATCCGAGCCAAACACCACCACCTCCTACAAGACGCAGAATAACGGCAAACGGCGAAAGCGGGGCAGCAGCAGCCTAGAGGACGTGCAGGAATTGGAGGACGACGAGATGGCTACGACGACGACAGCGACGACGACTACTAGCAATAAGAAGGCGAAGATGGTGGAGGAGGATAGTGATAGTGAGGTTCAGGAGGAGACGCCAGTTGCTGTTGCTGCTCCCCCGGCCGCCAAAAAGAAGCATTTCCGATTCGATAGCGAAGAGCCGGAAGTGCCTGAGATGGAGGAGGAAGTTGCGGAGACGCCGCAGGGCGTGGATGCGGATGAGGAGGAGGATAGCAGTGATGACGAGGCTCCTGAGGCTGTTGATAACTCCGCGCAACTGTCCAAGATTCGGATGGAGGCGAAGAGACAGGAGAGGGCTAAGCAAATGTTCGTATCTTCTTTCGTGTGTTCTCGATGACACTTGGAACTCATCACTGACTATGGCACAGAGAGGAGCAATTGAAACGAGACAAGAGAAAACAACTCGACGATCTGCGCAAGCTCCAGGCGAAGTCGGCCAACAAGAAACGAGAGGCCGAGGATCAGCTATCAGAAAGCACCGAGACCCTTCAGGGTACCACGACAGAAAGTGCCCGGAGGTCTGCGCTCCCCGCTCTCCTCCCGGACGATATCCTGAATGCCGCCCCCGACGTTCGCCCACCGACCCCTCCCGCCGAAGAGATGGAGATTGTGCAACCCAAGCCCACCAAATTGAGGTTCCTGGACAAGAAGGAGAAGGCCCCGAAGGATTTGCAGATGGGCGACGTCACGATCCGTGTGCTGGATGGAGATGTATCACGGAAGAAGTCGAAGACTGCACTTCCACCCAAGTCCTCGAAGAGCAGCCAGAACGCGAGACAAGCCTGGTTGAGTGCCTCTCGCAGTACGGCCAAGGTCAACGGGATAAGAAGAACGGCTGGCGGTTCCTCGGGGTTTGTGCGCAAATAGCAGGTCTTTGGCGCGCTTAACTCCGTCTCGTAGTAGGGATTTTTTAATGAAATCAAAAGTATATCCTGTATCTATTTTCTGTCTACATGTTGGCTTGAGCTCGGGTCGCCAGCGATGACTTCCGGGCGCTTTATGTTTCTTCGCATAGTCCATATTGAGTCGAGGCTTTCGGATCTTCATGCAAGACAGAGTCTACGGAGGGTTTGAATGATGCCACATAAGAAATGCTCAATCATCCACGATATGCGCAGTCCCGATCTGCAGGTCAAGCTCGACGAAGCTGCCCGAACCCCACCTCGTAATGTATGCTTTCTTTTTCTTTTCTTTTCTTTTCTTTTCGCTTCATTGCAGGGTATAATTGCTTTTGACAAGACGCGAACATATGACCGTTGACTGCAGACCTCCAATTACTAGTCTTTTTACTCAAGAATCGACAGGACTGCGTTGGCGAAGCGAGGTGTCGAAGCTGAGGGGAAGAAATGGCAGTGCTGGGCGGGCGCACGTGCGGAGCAGGAGGAAGGAAAGGCAAAGAAAGGAAAGGAGGAAGCTTGCCCGGTGGACTTCCAGTTGGAGCTAAGTTACTGCCATCCCATCCCGTCCTCAGACTTCATTTTCTCTTTTCTTTCCCTTCACAACGGCCTCCCCACCATCCTCGGTGACGTGCCTGCCCCCCGATTGTTGCTCAATTCAACAGAATCTGCTCTGTGCAGCATTCTGAATTTCCTCCTCAATTACCCACCATGGTTTCCATCACAGAGTCTTCCCCCCTCCTCCCCCAACATCAGCCGCCTTCCTCCACCAATACGTCACCGCGAGGAAACCGAGCCTCTCGAACGGTGACATTCAACCCATTGGCCACTGTCAGCACATATCACGATACTACCGCCGCAGACCCGACCTTCAGACCGCTTCATTCTGGTTCTTACCCTGCATCCAATTCTCAGAGCGCTGGCCCACCCCGACCGACCGGCTTGTCCGCCTTAAATAGCAAGCTCCGCCGCCGCAATAGCCATGGAGCACCTTACAGCACCGCCGGTGCCCCGTTCGCGACAGCCCCCAAGGTCGGACCGCAGCGAACGACAAAGAATGCACAGAAGCTTAAATTACTGCCCGATCCCGTGACCGAAGAAGAACTCGCCGACGGCGACTTTCCATCCGATGTCTACTCGCAGATCGCCCGCATCAAAGAACCGACCGCCCGCAGTCACGCTGCAAGTCTGGGAAAGGCGGATCGAGAGCGACTGCCCCGCGTCACAGCCTACTGCACGGCCAATTCGTATCGTCTGGAGGGGGTGGTGCGGTTTCTCAAGTCCCGCGCAAAGACCCGCGGAGCCAACCCGAAGCTCTACGATGAGTGCGTATACTCGCCATATGACTACGACTATGAAGCAAAGCAGCGAGGCACATGGAATCTTCCCAGCAACGGGTTGCATTCGCCGCAATCCCAACCCCCGATACGTCCTGCCGGAGAACGCCGGTACTCAGATAGTGTTGTGGAAGTGCAAGACAACACCAACACCCGGCGGGAAGATCTCATCGACCTGAGAGATTCGGAATCGCACCATCAACATGATGACCATGAGAGCGCCGTGGTCGATTCCACCGCATCGGCATCCCAAATAGAAGCTGCCCCTGACTTCGACACCAAAGTCCACACCCCGGAGGTGTTCCTCTTCGACTACGGCACCGTGGTTATTTGGGGCATGTCGCCCGCGCACGAGTCACGATTTTTATCCGATATCTCCAAATTCGCAACCTCCATTCTGAGTCCCGAAGACACGCAGGTCGAGAACTTCAACTTCTATTATGCGCGCGAATACCAAGCCCGGATCTACAACGATTTCATCTCCCTCCGTGACCCGCGGAATTACATGATCAAGCTCGCCATCTCCCATGCTCTCGCCCAGTCCGTCAAGACATCCCTGTTCGAAGATCTCGTCTCCGAGACGATCTCCAACACCGCACCACTCCCGGCCCAGATCGCCCAGACCGGCAGCGTGAATCTCACTCGGCGCCAGATCAACATGCAGGTCGGAGAGCTCTTCATCCTGCGAATCAACATCCACCTTCAAGGCTCCGTCCTCGACAGTCCGGAACTGATGTGGGCAGAGCCCCAACTGGAGCCTGTGTACCAGGCCGTACGGAGTTACCTTGAGATGGACCAGCGAGTGAGTCTCTTGACGGAGCGGTTAGACGTCATTGCGGATCTGCTTGCCGTTCTGAAGGATCAATTAACTCACCGCCATGGTGAGTATCTCGAATGGATCGGTACGTCTCCCTCTCTTGGTTCTGCGGCTGTATACCTCTCTAACTCAATTCCTTTTTTCCAGTTATCGTTCTCATCGCCGCCGAAATCCTCGTCGCGGCCATTAATATTCTAGTCGACCTCTACGCCGGCGTGGAATAAAGCGTGTTTTCTGTTTTTCTAATCTTCCTCCGGCGTCAGGAACAGGGCTTCCTTTTTTTCTACTGGGAGATCTTCATTGTTTCAATAACCAAGATTTTCCTGATTGCTTATTGCTTCGCTCTCATCTCATTGGGATCCCGAGGGACTTCATGACCGGCATTTTTTTAACCGTTCCAGGCGGACTTTTTCTTTATTGGTGTGTCTTGCTTCAGGCGCTACAGGGGTTTCGCGAAGAGGGGGGATACGATTTGGGACATGTGTTGTAATCCTGATTTCTTTGAGCTTGTTCTTCCTTACTACGGGGAGGGGAGTCAGTCAAAGTTCTTGCATCATATCGGAAATTATGTTTTCTATGCATAGCCCGGGGCCTTTAACTAGCGTTCCTTGCTTTAGCTGTGTTTTGTGTGTTGTGTCTATTGTTTGCGAAAATCAAAGTGAATTGATTGACCCTTGTTGTCTAGTAGAATGTTGGTGAGTCGGGATGGTGACTGTACCCTGTATTGTGTGTTGTTGTTCTTGTGGGGATGGGATGGGCCCACTGTTGGAGTTGATGTTGTGCTCAGCTCACTGCACCACAATAATGAGTGCCTTCTAGTTTGGAGGTGTAGTAGGTAGGGTGGAGGCCTCTCGCCCGCGGGCATTGAGTATAGTGTAGTAGAGTGTAATGTAGTGTAACTTATCTGGAGCTATTCCCAGCAGCACAAAAACTCGCCAGCTGCCCGAGCCCATACGTACTCCTCTGTCAACCTTACATTTGTAAAACAAAATAATCACATGACCGTTGTCAGTTTACACTCGAATCCAATCCGAGACCAGATGGTTACTTCAGGCGCTTGTGGTGGATCAATCCACCCGGTCTCTAAATTATGGCACACGTCCAGCAAACGGTGAGACAAGAGAAGTATGCACCCCCCACAAAGGAAGAAAGAGGATTATCTCGAGGCAAGAAGCGGATAAGGTAAGTAGGTGGATAGGCAAAATAGGTTAGAGGTTAAGCATCCGACACAGAAGGTAAAACAACCCAACACGAAAAAAAAAGCTCCAGTTTCCCCAATTCCAAAATCATGGTTTCGCGCAAGTCTAACACCCACAAAGCAAATAAAAACAGTTTTCAGGTCACCAGTTAGTCAAGAAGAGAAGAAGATATAAGCCATGGATGATGGTCTTTTGAAGTTTGTTTTGAGATTTGTCTCCCGCTCCGTAGCCCTTGTTTATACAATCAGAGAAAAGGGGAGGTGGGGAGATGGAGATACTCGAGACCCAGAAAGATAGGAAAATTGTGAAGATTAATTTGAGTGGAAGAAGAAGTCGCATAGCGTGTCCCTAGCTCTCCTCCTTCGGTTCCTTGACATCCACATCCATCGGCGTCGAGGAGGGTTCCACTGATGCGTCACCAGCCTCGTTCTCATTCTCCTCTCCCTCAGCTGCGGCGTCGTCATCATCGTCATCCGCGGCAGCGGCGGCAGCGTTAGAGGCTCGACGGGTCCTCGAGCCGGATTCCGGATTCTGACTCGTGCCGCGCTCATCGGATTCTGGGTGCTGGCCGGCCCCAAGCCGAAACGTGGAGCTCAGATCGTCCTGGGACGGGGCGGGGGCCAGCCGGGGCAGGGTGCCGTTGTTATCGGTGTTGTTGTCGCCGTTGTCGGCCGCGTTGTTACTGGCAGCTCCGGCGGCGGCGGTGCTGCCTTCATCGTCGGCGCCGACGCCGTCGGGGAGGTTGGATTTTCGGGATCGTTTGACGCGGAGAGGTCGTTCTTGGGGCTATTACAAAGCGGATACAGTCAATTGTCCTGTTGGCGCACACGCTGACCCAGCATCGAGTCTTCTTTGCACGGCAGCCCGTCAAAGTGAAGCCATCGCCCCAAAAGAGGAAAAAGAAAAAAGGATAAAACTCACAGTAGGAGGCTGCTCATCTGAACTCCCCTCCGTCTCATCATCCAGATACGCGCCGCCGCCACCGCCGCCAGCGGTCCCATTCTTACCCTCCGACGATGCGGTCAGCCCATTCAACGCCGAGGCGTTGCTCATCAGCGCGACGGCGCGGGCCCGGAGTTCCGGGTTGGCGGCGGCCCCTGCCTGCGAGGACGCCTCCTCGGTCATGCCGGTGACCTTGGCCAGGCGCTCCAGCAAGATGCACGACTCCAGGCGCATCTTCTGGATGTACTGCCAGCCGCGCCGGTTGCGGACGCGCATCTGTTCGTTCTCTTCCTCGATCTCGTTGAGGCGCTTCTTCAGGGCAAGGCATTTGCGCTTGTAGGCGTTCTCGACGCTGGGAGGGTTGGTGGTGGCCGCTGAGGGCCGGATTGTGGTGGACGTCGTGTCTTCCATGGTGAAGTGACTGAAGGAAGCGGCTGGGAGGTGATTTGGGAGGTGATGACGAGAGAGGTTGATTGCGGGTGGTTGTCGGGACGGAGATGCTTCTGTAGGCTGTACGGGAGAGTGGATGTCGGAGACTGGATCGCTGATAAATTTCGGTGATTGTGGAATTGGATAATGAAGCTGCTGGAGACGGTGTCGCTTTAGTCGGAGGTAACAGTCAAGAAGATTGACAAAGTCTGGTCAAGGGGCTCCGGAAGCCGCTGAATGTGTTCCTGGCAATGCGAATCCGATGGCTTCGATCTCTCTGCCCTGATGGCGCGAAACAATTAACGTGTGTTGCTGAGGATGGTGGGCCAATGAAGTGAGGAGCGCTGATTTTTGCAGTACCACACAAAGCCGATCCGAGCGAGAGATTCCACGGAAAAGAAGATGGAATAGAGCTGGCAATGGACGAGGTCGAGAGCTGAGGACGAAGCGAAAGGAAGAGGAAGTTGAGATCGCCGCGGTAATTCTGCCGGCCGACAGTCCAGAGCGGTCAACGTTGACTATCTACGGACTACTATTTCACCTGTACATTCATTCATTCCTATCGCAGAACCACTCCTTTGTCAAACGATATTCCATTATCCACCGAACTCCTAACTATGATGAAACTACATACAAACAAATCAACTCTATTCATCAGAATACATTACGACTAACTCCATCAATGTCCACCAGTCGTCGGCAATCCACAGAACACCTTGAATGAATCATAACTGCATCCAGCGTCAGCCCTTAAGCTCCGAAACCAACAAAGGAGGATACTCACATCAACCACTGGAATCCAGTCAAAGTACCGAGCATGACAATTCTGACCGGCAAGCCGTTCCACAAGCCGGAGAATCCGATGTTGCTATAGATGCGCGACACGGCCGTCATCGCGCCCTCACCAGCTATAGAGTTATACCACGTTAGCCCTGAGAATTCACGACCCACAGCAATGGCCCATAATCTCAGAGATGGGGCAAACAAGAGCTTACCTTTCCGATCCGCATTCAGCTTACTGACCATCACATCCGCGGGATGACTGACGATCGCGCAGAAGATGCCCGCGATGTACCCACCCAGGAAACTGACCCCGGTCTGCTGCAGCCCGGAGCACTGCTCCTTGGGCTTGCCGATCGTCTTGTAGAGCATGCTGACGGTCTCCTCGAAGGTGGCGAACTTGGTCATCGTGTAGGGGATCTGTCGCGCCCACAGCGGATACAGGCCCTTGTACAGGCCGGCCATGCCCTCCTGGGCGGTGATCTTGCCCCAGCCCTCGCGCAGGCTGTGCGCGAACGGCGGCAGGGTGGTCTGCATGCGCACCTTGATCGCCTCCATCGGGCACAGCATCATGTCCGCGAAGAACTCGGCCGAGGCGCTGGCGCCCAGGTAGACGACGGTGCGGTTGGTGTTGGGGAAGAGCCGGTCGCCGTACAGGTACTTGAAGTACTCGTAGAAGCCGTACTTGCCGGCGCCCTGCAGCGAGTAGCCCAGGAAGGTCGGCGTCCAGCCGAAGAAGACCCCGCGCACGCCTTCCTTGGCCATGATCGAGCGCCATGCCGAGAGGTTGGAGGTGTAGATCTTCGGGTCGACCTGGCGGCGACATTTGACCAGGTCGAGCGGAGTCACGGCGGTGTGGGTTGGGCCTGTAGTAGTAATTGTGTCAAGATGTGTTCTCCTCCAGAATGCCCTTGAAGAGGCGATTCGGATACGGTTTGATTGGGATGGAATTACTCACCACAAGCTACAGAGCAGACGAATAGGTTAGCTTCCTTGCGAGGATTAAGCCGAGGATGGAGGAAACCTACCGATAATGCCACCCAGCGTACAGCTAGCGAAATACTTGGCCGAATTGGGCTCAATCTTCCCAAAGGGAAGTTTGCGGTCTTGCGTAGCCATTGACATGATTGTGTGCGGTTTATGAGAAAGGTAGGTGAGTGAGTGATCGAGGTGAGCAACGTGAGTTAGTGATAAACGTTCGTTTATCTACAAAAGCACCAAACCAACTCCAGAGAGGGGGAGGGGAAAGAGAAACAAGCAGCAATCGAAGAAGGGTATCAAATTTGGAGAACAATTCCCTTAGTTAGGAGGAGGAGTAGCTGACTTATAAGCTCATGCGGGCCAGAACCGGCCCCGAAAGATAGATACCTGGACTGCGGAGGGTAACATGTCGTCAGTGCAGCCAGCAGTGAAGTCAGTCGAATCAGGCACTGATTGCATTGACTGACTGCTGTAACCAAATCGGCTAAACCGGCATGGCGACGGCTTATCCTGTGCGCTGGAACCATCCGAGCAGCCGAGTGATAGTTTAGTTGTTAGTCCCTGAATTGACATCGAATTGACTTGCCAGATTTCCATAGCCCATTCTTCTTCGGCTCTTCGTTGGTTGTTCACTTCACCCAATGTCTGCGTGGTTGCGGGATCTATGGTCATGACGTCAGTCGCTACAGTTGAGATAACAGAGTTATCCGTGGCTTGCCGGAAGGGCAACATTCCCCTCGTCTACTACGTACATACAGTATCTATCCACTCAGGGTCTGAGAAGTTGTATGCTCAAGATATAGTTGGATATAATCATTGATACACCTTGATCTGAGAGGAGAGTTAATACATCACAAGCTATTTGTACATCCAGCAGCCACTCTGGCAGAAGAAGTATACAAAACTTCATCCCTACAATTCTAGTAAATCCAATTGGAAGGATTGACCATCAGTCCTTCACGAATACTCCAGAGCAAGGCGCGGCCCACTACTCGGCGCAAAAGATCCCAACATCAAAGGCATCATGCCTTGAGCCCCCTCACCAGCAAGTACAAGGGCCAACTTGATCCCGACCTCGGAACCCTTTTCCGCCAGCGCCCGCCGGATCTGCTGGGCCTGGGCTGGCGTCGCATGTCCGCACGTCAAGATATACCACAGAGGCCACATCATATGGTAGACGTCGAAGGCCCGAATCTGCGATGCCCCCTGCGAAGCCAATGGGTTGCCCAGCTGATCGATCGCCCCGAACGAGAACGGGATCGCACGGCACGTATCGCCGATTAAGCTTCGGATCAACCGTGATCCCTCGGCTTCCTGTCGGACGGCTTCTCGCTGGATGCCGCTCGAAGGCACAAGCGAGGTCAACGTCTGGACGAATTCGAGGATCGTTACCTGCAGCAATATGCGAAGGGCATGATAGTAGGACCAGATCGACGCCGAGAATTGCCCTTGGTAGGTCAAGACATCCTCGCCGGTATGCGATCGGCAAGCGTAGGGGAGCCAGCTGGTCGGCAGGCTTCGACTCCACTCCGCCAATTCGGAGTCCAGGGCCCTATAAATCTCTATCCTGGAGGCAAGGGTGGTGATGACTCCAGGATCGGTGGTGTCTGAAGTCAAGGGATTCTCGAGGGACATTGGATCAAGCTCGTTCACCACCATTATCAGCCGTTGTAAAGGATCGGCAGGATCGAGACGCATGACGAGATCATGAGTACTGAAGCGTGGCTTCTGCCGCAAAAGTAAAGCTTCAATGCGCTGCAAATCGTACAGTGGTCAGCATGGCCCCTGGAGTCTGAAAACCACTGATTGGAAGGGTAGATGCACGGGGTGTATGTAAGCCTACCGTGTGAACATATGCAAACTTAAACATATCTAACCCCTGCTCGTTGAGTAGACTCTCGCCCCTCAGCTTCATAAGGGCTTCAAAGCCCACAGTGTGGGAGCTCGCAAGCCCATTCCGCTCGCCTGAGATATCTTCAAAGAGTGCGAGAATGACCACGGCTGCAAAGGTATCGTCCTTGACCCGTTGGACCGGCGAGTCCAACGCCTGACGCAGTCTTTGCGCCGCCAGAGCAACCCGGTGTCTCGCTTGTGTGACCAGCGAGGGCGCCTTGACCTGATTACCCAAGGTGAGCAAGGCTGCAGCGTCAACCGCGAGACGCAGACACGAAGACGCTGGCTCCACGGCGCCTGGCCCTCGATGACAGCCCGCATACAACCTCGGGATAAATCCCAGGTGACTGCCACCTTCAGGCTTGTCACAAGCAGTATATTGGTCAAAGAACAAGCATACCGCCCGTTCCTCCCATGGCGACTCAGGGTTCTGATATATGGACAGAGAAGACATGCGTTGGGTACCATCGGGAACTCTCTCTCGAACACCATGGGCGGGACAAGGCTTGTTGCCCTTCCTACTTCCTTTGACCTGGCCCGTCTCGATCTTGAAGATCGTGTCTGGTCGGTACCCCGGGCATGATTCTCCGTAGACAGCGCAGTTGCGGCATCCAGGATGCGCCTCGTCACACTAGGAGCTGCTTAGCTACAATCGCATCCAACCAGGTAATGATTAAGACTAGCCACCAGATAGCTTATACCACCAATATGAGTGGACATCGGGTGGATTTGCTGGCTGTCGTCCTACCTTTATCTTCCGTTTGCGACACAGGTAGCAACCTGTACTAGGTTTGCCCCCGTATACCATAATCGACTAGTTTTGAGGGGCAGGGCCCATGTGAACAGCAGGGTACAACTGGCAGGCTTCATACGTCGATGGTGCATGGAAGTGGAAGGATTGAGGGTCGTCCAGCCATGCAGCCCGCAGTTTCGGCCAGAATCATAGCCTATACTTGTTGCGCAGACGAAAGAGGTGTGACTAGCGCCAATGATGATGATGTTGTGGAGGGGTCGCAGCCTTCTGCTCAAAGGATCCCTGCCTCTAACTAGTAGAGTGAGTCAGGTGACCACATCAACTTTGACAAATGGATCAAGTACTCCGTACTGTACTCTCTCAACTGAGACAAAACCAAGACATTACACTTACGATGGATCCACAACACTGGCACATAGGATTAAATGTTCTGTAGATCTGAATACATCTTCCCAAGAGAGGTATCGTCTAACCCTCGTATGATAACTAACACACAAAGCACATATAGAAAGCATGGAACACCCCTGGGGTTATTCCTCTCTGATACTCCAGCAGCACAAGAATAACCCCAACTGCCAGTTATTTAACTCCACACCACGTTTCCAGCGGGCTTGAAGAAGAGAAAAGTCACAATTCAAACAAAATGTCCTACCCAACACCCAAAATGCATATATGGAAGAAGAACCAGGCACAATCGGCCCTGTTCCAAAATCAGTCATGCTGCCTACATTCCACTGGAGCCAACATCAAGGGACAGAGGCGACGGCGCTTGAGATCATTGAAGGTTGGAGAATAAGGCGTCCTCATAATATCGATTGTACGGCTCATCTTGCCATCAAGACAAGGGAGCATCCACCATTGACTGATCGTTATCACTGCTTATGGGCAGCGTGGGAGGGGGGTCAGAAAAGCGTTCTCGGTGTCGATTTTCAACTGGGCTCATGAAAGGCCCTGGCGTGCTGGCAGTGCTTTCGATTGCGGCTTCGTCCCCGCTATCTTCGGGTGGCGCCGAGAAATTCCATACCTACGAATGCCATTAGATTCTGTTCTTACCAGTTCGGAGTAACAAAGGGGGCGCTTACCTCCATGACCGTCCGCCCTGACCTATTCGCCATAATGACTGCTTTCTCCGCCTCAAAGGCTACTCTCCAGACAGCCTCGGCCGGGGTAGACAGTTCCCGCAGTAGTTGACCAGTCTCCAAGCTCCAGATTTTGACACGTCCGTCACTGCCACCGCTAACGATACGAGAGCTGTCAAACTGCAGGCTTGTCACACTATTGTCATGCGCTGCCAGCCGATGAATGGGTGTATTCGTAACCAGCGACCATATCCGGATTGCGCCGTCGGAGCCTCCAGTAACCAGCGTATCGCCACGCATCTGTAATTGTCCAACCAGAGACGTGTGGCCCTGCAAGATGCCATTACATTGTCCAGTTTCAGGGTCCCACATGCGTACGGTAGTATCCAGACTACCTGTTGCGATGCGCTTGCCATCAAAGGCGACCGCATATATCTGGCTAAAATGACCTGACAAAGTCCTCAGGCACCGTCCCTCAGATATGCTCCAGATTCGTGCCGTGGTATCGTAGCTGCCGGAAACGACAAGATCGCCATGTATGGCTAGGCAACGAACACTTGCCTGGTGCCCGACCAGAACATTCTTGCAAGTGCCTGTGGAGAGATCCCAGATCCGCAGGGTCGTGTCTCGTGAGCCGGAAATAGCCGTGTTCTTGTCAGACATTTTCAAACAGCGCACTGTGGACGTGTGGCCACGCAATAGGTATATTGCAGCCCTAGTGCAAACAAACCATTAGTATTGAAATAATCCATGATCTGCTCGGAACTTGCTTTGTGGTCGGCTTACCCTGTGGCCATGTTCCACACCCGGACTTCTCGATCGCACCCACCACTTACAAGAATATCATCCCATGGGACCATAGCCCAGACGCCCATTACATGGCCTTGAAGGGTTTTCTGGTTGTCTCCATTGGTATCATACACATGAATCTTGGCATTGTCGAGCGCAACCACGATATATTTCGAAGTCAAGTGGAGGCTCGTAACCACTCCCTGATCAGGGCTCATATGTCTTTGCGTGCAGCGCCCGCCTTTATTCCAAGCCGATTCAACCATGTATCTCTGTTTGAAATGCGATCTGTAAGATACGGGTCGGACCCGCCGTCTCCGGGACGAGTAGCTCGATGAGGAGAGCCAGTCTCCAGATAAGGAACGTGGGAGTCCCGGAAAGCCGTCCCGAGATTGGAGGCCGGACACCGTGGACGTGCTCTGCAACGCGTTCAGCGAATGAGTGGTAGATACAGCATGGAGAGGCTGGCCGTCAACAGGGTCCACAATGTCTCGATCGTCATCTGAAGGTCGTTGGTAGGCATATGAATGCTTCTCGCACAGGTTCATCCAGGTGATGTCATCGTTTAATAGTTCGCGCCATCTTTTCGAAACTTGTGATGCTCTTGCTAGCGTCTTCGGATCATCGATAAACGAGAGAACCTAATGAAATTGAGGTACACGGGTCAGCAGGGTCACGGCGGCTAAACAAGAGCTCGGGAAGATGGCCACATACCCGCAAACATAGTTCGTTCGGGAAGACCTGGAAGGGGTCTTTCCTTAATCGAGGAACAACGAAACTCCAGACAAAGCTGAGCTGTTGAGGATCACATAGACCGAGAAGTCCTTCGAGGAATTTTTGCTTCTTGGCGTTGGTTAAAGAGGCGAAGTGCATCTGAGTATTCAACAAAACATCTTCATCCTCTTCTACGGTCGTCTGCCAAGTCGGTGATCTTTGATGAGGGGTCGGACTCGGAGCTGGAGTAGGGGGGGATTCAGGCGCCGCAGGCAGAAGGTTTGCTGGGATCGGAGGGCCAGGCTTGGTTGAGGAAAGCGATCTCGAATGTGTGCTAGAGATGGAAGGAACTGCATTCTTGGCTATGCAAGACCGATTATGCGCCGTTGCCATCTCGTCAGAAACACTGTGCGGACTTATGATTCCGTCATCTGCTGAATCTTGAGTGCTCATGGCGTGCCGCGCTCGATAGCGGCTATATCATCAAGTGATTTGCGCGGGCCACCAAGCTTGATTGTCGCACGTCGGTTATAACAAGCCCAGACTGACCTCCTAAGACTTCAACACATTCGCGGAAAGATAGCGTTGCTTGGTGTCGAGTGAGAAGAACGAGAGACAATGTTGGAGAGTTGGGAGACGGAGATGAGTGTATAAGGAGACGGGGTGGGAGGGAGAAGGGAAGGAGGGAGCGAGCGTAAAGGGCAAAAGAGAGAAAGATAAGACGGGGGAGGTGGGTGCTCTCCGGTGGTAGTGATTGTGAGGAGAGGAGGGAGGGCTGACGATACGGAGTCAACGGGAATAGGGGGGGTGGCAGGACCAGCAGATATCAAGTAGTGACGGGCGAGAATGTTTTATACGATAGAGAATGGCAGGGCAATGGGATGGATAAAAATAACAGAAAGAAAATAGAACCAGAAAAGAAAAAGTTTAAAATGAAAACTGGAGATCCGATATCCCGCGCAGAGACAGCGGCAACAGTCGCAGGCGAACGTTGAATGGAAAGTGGAACAGAGAGAGCTTGGAGACTGGAGAGGGGGAGAAAGACAGAGCGAGAGAGAGAGAGACAAGATTATTACGCTTGACCTTTTCCCGCCGACGACGCCATCCAGAAAGAAACTGGGTCTGCAAGTCAGAAACGGGGGTGGTGGGGACGTGTGGACGAGACTAGACCAGACTAGACACTCAAACAGAGACCGATAGACTCGACAGAGAGATAGAGAGTCCCAGGCTAGGAGACAAGTCAAGACAAGACAAGAGACAAGAGAAGACGATAGGAAAGAGAGGGGGGAGG